CGGGGCATACGAACTGCGCTAGGTCCAGGACAGTAAGCCAAAGAGAAGACGATCGACAAATGCAAACCTTTTGCTCCACCGATACTTGGTGGTACAGTAGTTTCGTCCCGAGGCCTCAATGGGGTGCGCCGCGCGCAGAGTGGGCGGGGTGACCTATTTTCGACGAACGCGCGCGACGAACATTCTCCCAACGGGCACGGTATTCCACACAAAACGGCGCGCCATGCGGGGGACGGAACATACGGGCGTCCGAGGCTGCGCGCGGCAAACTGAGCGGCGAAGTGCGTAGCGATTCGAACGACTCTGGCGCATATCATTAGGGCTCAAATTTGAAGTAGAGTAGATTAGTAGAGTAGGCTAACCCTACTAATCTACTGTACTTCGAGTTTGTGCCCCGATAATAGGCGCCAGAGTCATTCGAATCGCCACTAACTCCGCCGCGCCGTTTACCGCGCGCATCCTCGGACGCACGTATGTACCCATAGGCTGCTTTCATAATCCGCCGGCCGGGGGCGGTGCCTGCCAATTGTTTACAAACTGAATCTTGGTCGATACCACAGGCTGAGTAGTCTCCTGGCCAGCGCGCGCAGTGGGCCGGCCGGCGGACTATGAAAGCGGCCATACCCCACCATGCTCGTCGCAACGCATCGCGCGATATCGGGGACAATTCGGAACTCCAGTGGAGGATTACCGTATTGTCCCGATAAAATTGCGCGCGCCCTGAGGATACGGCTACAAACTTCGCCTCTACAGGAACAGCTGCTCATTTCGCTACTTTCGTTTTGGGACTGAGCCACGATGTCCTCCTAATCTGAGCTCGGCCCTTGAACGTTTACACATCCTTTTTGAAACACGGACCAATCGTTTTTGCAGACTAGCGGGCTAGAAAGTGCTTTCACAAAGGTCGAGAGCAACCATAAGTGCATCTATCGGAGGAAACGGCATATTTAGATAGTTACCCCTGACAATGCCAATGAAGAGAAGGCACCCTCTGGGTAGGTAGCGATTACTCATTCGCATCTATTGCTGCAGGAGGTAGGCTTGGCGGAAGACAAAAAAAAAGCGGCGAAACTCCTCGCTATGCAGCAAACAGATTTTGTGCGAAAGTGAGGTTTCGTCAACGATACTCTTTGAGGTGTCGTTATAGCGAGATTTAATTAATTCAAGTTAATGAACTCTGAGTGATTTTTGTTTCAAAGTTATAGGAATAGTTATCTTGTATTGTCATCTCACGTCTAGACAATTAATTACAATCGATCCCCGGTCCCTATGATCCTTTCTCCTAATATCGGCTTATAAAGTAACAGCATTTGTTCGGACACACAGAATCTCAGCCATCATCTTACGAATACCTCATGAGGCTGATATGGTGAAAAAGGGGTACGAAAGGGGGACTCCTCAATCGCACTGGCTGCTTTCAGAGTCCGCCGTCCGGCTTTGCGAGGCCGGCGAGCGGACTCTGAAAGCCGCCACTGTGCTCTGCGTTTCTAACAGTAAGGTGTAGAGCTAAATTAAGGAAAACATTCTGAGCCAGCGTGAAGAGAGCTCGAGGAGAAGGGAAAGCTCGGTGTGGTTGAAATGTTAACCTTTTTCAAAAGTCGTTGTGAAAGTTATGAGAGCAAATATACAGATAAATACCATCTTGATTAATGGAGTCAGCTTATCCTCTCCCCCAACTGCTTTTCAATCAACATGTTGTTTAAAATTCAAGAAGACAAGCGAGCACGATACAGTTTCTTCTGAGCTGCTCAGAACTTAGCTCGTTTCCGATTCTCTATGACTGGTCGCTTTCGTAGTCCGCCAGCCAGCCGACGAGCCGGCGCATTGACGTAAAACGAATTAGTTCGTGTGTAAGAAGTCTACGTCTGTTGCATTTTATTCCACGATCAGAACAGGTCAGAACCGTGGAATAAAATGCAATGGACGTAGATTTCTTACATACGAACTAATTCGTTTTACGTCAGTGCGCCGGCTCGCCGGCCGGCTGGCGGAGTACGAAGGCAGCCGCTGATATATCAGGTCGATGAACCATTCCTATATATGAGAAGGGTTTCCGATTCGAAAAGGTCTAGTATGGACGAGAATATCTTCCTTCTCCCACAGACTCCATCAACGGAAAGGAGTCTACAGTACCACCAAAAATCGTTCTAACCATCGCAGGTACTATTATTATACAACACGCATTCCGCTCCGCGAAAACGACCCACTTACGCAAAATACGTGGAAAAGTTAGTGTTTCGAGTTTGGTGAAGGGCCGTGGGTTTTGGTCTCATGAAGAATATCTCGTGAGTGGTACGGTGCAAACTAAGGCGCTTCTCGCGAAACTCATCCATCCTTTTGTCGAGTGTGGGTTTGGTCGGCTGTAAATGTTTGCGTTTCTTTCCCTAAAGTTGTCCTCTTCGTTAAGCCGAGATGGCTTCAGTGTCTTCTGGACACCTGCACCTATTAAGTATCCTGAGCTGACTGTGTTTCAAGGAAAAGAGGTAAGTATTACTTGCAATCAAGAAGAAATGCTTTTGTACAACTCACATTGAGAGATTATCCAACTTCATAATGCTCAATTCGTGCATCAAAGAAGCGGAGCATCATGCTCATGCGCAATCCCGGGAAGTCAGGACGGCTGAAAAGTGCTGACTCGGTACGTCGAGCCAGAACAGGGAGAATGTGTTTGCCTTGAAATAATGGTTTGGAATGCCAAAGTTCAATTCGAGTACGATGAAGAGCCTTGGATTCGACTGAACATTCGTTAGCTCGCTGTAGACACCTGTGAGCAACATCAGCTTGCGGTGGGTTCGTACCGTAGAAAGACTGTGACGTGGGGGTTTTGCCCAACAGAGGTCGACTCAAGCAGTGTTCAAGGTTAAAGTTGGATGCAGCATATGAGCATCTCGACAAGATTTATGCCGCGTAATTAGCAACACCATCGTTCGATAAAGAGTGTTATATCCTATCCACTCTGATCTATCTCGTACTCGACAGTCCTTGCATAATCTAGACCCCTAGTCATTTTAGACTATTCCTGGGTATCTCTCAGAAATCGCCTAGAAGTCGCTTCTTCTTGCTGAGATTACAAAATGAATATCATTTTACAGCTTGCTATTATCGCCTTCCTCAAAAAGCACTACACTCGCCCAAGGATTTGAAGAACAGCTGCTACAATTAAGGTAAAAGTTCATGTATTGATTATATATTTACTTTATGAGAACTGATGTGAGAGAATGTATATGTATATGTGTTCATATAACATATAAAATGTCCTTATCTTTGAAATGATAACTGCCTTAGCTTTTTGTTACGGTCATGTTTGTAATGGGGTTCACATACAGAATATAATCTGCGGTGAGTTTGGGGCAAAATACACGCTTTTGTTTGAATATTTGTTGGCAATATCTGGAGCCAAACTCTTCTCAAAACGTGTGCCACGAAAGACCAGCGTCATGTACTGATTGCTTTTTAATACTGTAAATGATTGCAAATCGCTGATTTTGAAGGTTCGATACTTCGAGTTATTCTTCTCGCTTGATCTTTTTGCAACTCGAAAGTTCGTTTTCTTGTTTTTATTTCTACTGAGCGCACCTTGAATGCAAGTAATAAATAAATAAGTCTTGCCGCTAACTTTTTCATAGTGTTGGTATGTGCAGCTACTCCAGCTTCCGCTATTAGGAGTAATATCGCTGTATCCTTAGTATAAACGCCCTTACATATAGATATCTTCTTTCTCCGAAATCGGTCCGACGGGATGCAAGGATGAATAGTAATCATATAATATAAATAGGATATGCATTACAGAAAACATGCTGTACTATAGGATGCAAACTCTTCATCTGTTAAAGCATTGACTGTTGAGAAGAGCATTAGCTTCGTCTAGTCTTGCCCCACAGCGGTGGCTGGAAGTGACCTTGGGTTAATGATATTCCATTTAAGGTGACTTATCTATGTTTCTTTCAAAAGAGCACGTCAATGTCAGTTAGATTGGCTAAGGTGAATGGGTAAGAAAAGGAAATAACTTGTTCCCCACCTCGCTCTTGTAGTTATTTCCAAGAAGCTGCAGCCAGATAATTATTCCATATCTTGAGCCAAATATCCGTAAAATCAAATTAATGGGCAGAATGCGCCTTTGTAGGGGTATCAGCCATGAATGTTTCTAGGCTATTCTCATGCGTAGTCTTGATTTCATAGTAGCTTGAACTCGAACGAGTTCTTAAAACGGTTTAGTTCCGAAGGTTGAAGTTCGAGATGCATGTTTAGAGGAAGTTTGTTTGTTGTGGTGCGTGAATGTAGGTTCAGAACGCATAATCGCAGACTGTATACTTTACCAATCTCCGCCACTTACCACTGCATATTTGAATACGATTGAATCATCACTTCCAATAGAATTTAAAGTTGTTATATTCGTATACTATGCCTCCTATAAATCAGTAATCTAGAGAGGCACCCTGATTGTGGGCGATGGTAGCCTTTGCATTATTTATTCAACACTCAATGTCAGTATTCTTTTCCGTTTCATAATTATTTCTTGTTCCTTTTATTTCGCACAGGTGCCGTCTCGAATTATTTGGATCAAGCAAACCAACCTTCACTGCTTAACAATCTAAACAAACAGTAATTTAGCGAGTTGAGTTTACCCAGCCATTCTTTTATTCGTTTTTTCCGCTAAGAAAAGTCGGGTACTGTGGGCATTAAACTTGATTATAGTGAAATGTATCGATGGTGAGACCATTAATTCGTAGCAAGAACTGCCCAACGCATCTCGACTTAGCTGCATCTCCTCAAAATCTGTCGAATAAATCCACCGTATTGTTTTTGTTTCATGACCCCTTTTTCTAATTTTTCTTTTCAATTGCACAAATAAACCAACATTGTTTGATTACGTTCTGTTTTTCTCACGGTACAGCAGGAAGTGGACGTCTTAAGTTGTCAGTGCTTCTGCTTCTCATTGTCAGCTGAGTTACGTATTAGGAGGTAGGAAAAAAGCTTGCTTATCAACTCTTATCATTCAGATGTCAGGTTGGGAGCACCATCGGCAGGAAACAGGAATTCCTATTAACATGAGGAGCATTGCTCAAAATGGAAACGGACGTGCTATCGGTGTAACACCTGTGTACCCTCGTGGCGAAAATATCCGCCCCAATTACAATCTCCCACAAGGTGTCTTGCCGAGCCAAGGTGTTCAGAGAGCAGTCAGTGGTCCGAGCGTCTATGGCTCAGCACCTAACCGATTTCCAGCTTATTTCACCGCCCCAGGAGTTGAGATGAGACCTCATTATCCACCCTGTTTTCCATCACGTGGAACATACTTGATTCCCGGCAAGCAAAGGGGACAATTGCATCAAAGATTTTCGCATAGCCCGACGACAAGAGGAAATTCCGATGTCTCATCTAACACACATAATACTCCTACGTACGGCATTGTACCGCCACGACCTTTGCGAATGCAGAACAACCAATATCCGTGTGCTCCGGCAGGACAGTTGTATCTTCACGAACAAGTGGTTGCTCCTATTCCTTCTGTACAGCCGGCTCTTCTAGCAAATCATGACAGTCTCTCAACCGAGTGTGTTACGAAAATGGGAAAACTCGACGTTCTTCATTTGCAGGTAAGTTCACATGTTACATTTTCACCTCCTTTTTTCGGAATAATATTCCTTGCCATTCAGCCAGTTGCAGTTTCGGCTGGAGAAAATGGTTTTCAACCTGCTGGTGGTGTATCTATTTCCGAGAGTGATATTTCTTTTGTGATAAGTTGTAGGCATCGAGACAAGGACGTCGAGGAGGTCACGGTTGTGATCATCGCAATGCATATAGTCAAAATTGCTGTAAGTTTCATTTCTATGATAATTTGTTTAAGAACTATTGCGCAATCAGTTTACGTTATGTGACGCTAAATCAAAGGAAGTTATGACCTTGACTCAGCGAGAATGTAAGGTGCAATGAACCATAATACGCAAAAATGGAAAAAGGCTTTTTGTCAACTTAACATTAGGAAAGAATCTAGCTAGGTAAACTGTCAGGGATCGTGGAATTCTGAAACGATTGGCTGCTTTCAGACTTCAGTGACGCAATCGACGACCGTCTGTTGGTGCGTCCGTCCTACCGACCAACGATGTTACTGGCTGTGTGTTGACAACACTAGACGCCGATGGATCAAGTGCCAGTGTTGTCAATAAGTGGACGGCTAGTCGATCGGACGCACGCACGGACGGTCGTCGGTTGTGTCGTTGAAGTCTGAAAGCGGTCATTGACTACATGGAATGAGAAGGCATGGGAGTGAAGATTGATGGCTGCTAATTACATCATCCCGCTTTGCAGATGGCATCGTGCTTATAACACCGACACCGAGCAGGCCGAATTTGACAATGTTTGTGAAAAGATCGGCTTGAGATTGAACTTATGACTGAAGGGGATGTTCATGAGAAACGGATTCGTACCTGATGCTCCTTCCACGCTGAACAAACGAAGATCTCTGAATCCATGAGATACATGCATCTATGTAATGAGGTGAACATGGTGAACGACCTGGCTTCGGAGCTGAGCAGAGGGAACGTGCGGCGTGTAGAGCACTTGAGAATATCGAGGGAGTAGTGAATAAGACAAAGAACGCTCACCTTTTCGACACTTCGAAAACATACGACACTTTTTCATGCTTTGCCTAACGCCTCAGAGAGTTGTACTCTACCAAAGCAGGATGAGCATGCAGTTAACCTCATTCAAGGCGCTGTGTAGAGGAAAACGTTAGGGGTCCCCCTATGCACGCAAATGCAGAAAGTAGATCCGAGCTCCGTCAGCGAACGGAGATCAGGGATGCCGTTGATTATGCTAAGAAATCGAAAATCAGTTGGGCCGAGCACGTCATGCGATATAGTGATGACCGTTGGACCAAGGCGGTTACTGACTGGATGTGTATGGGTACATTCACCCAATTCTGGATAGACGCGGCAAACCGCGCGGCGGAATTCGTGTTGATTTCAACGACTCTGGCTCCTACTATTGGTGCCAAGGTTTTGAGTAGATTGGATAAGTAGGGTCAGCTGATGCCACTCATTCACCTTACTTCAAATTTGTGCTTCAAACATAGTCGTTCGAATCACCACGGTTTTGCCGCGAGGTTTGCCGCGATCATTCAGAATTGAGTGAATGTTCGTCTCCTGTCTGAATACCTCTGGACGTCAAGCGAACACCAGGACGGGCGCCAACGAGATGGTCAAACCTCTTCACGGAAGCTCAGAACAAATGGAATGTTTTGCCTTGTATCCCTCCCCTACAAGCGAGTACGATTCACCGGACTACTCTGGCTCGGGACAGGGCCGAATGGAGACGTTACTGACGCCCGCTCGAGAAAAGTGATGATAGCGGGACGAGAGGTGATACAGTTGAAAGTATGCGTGGGCACGTGCCACCACCGCATTGACGTTTCAAAGGCATATTTCACGACAATTCTTTGGTATCTGGTTTTAAACAAATAACGGAATCAGCAGTCCAGAATAATGCAAAGTAGCAAATAAAATAAAAAAATCGGCATTTTTAGAGAAGTGTAAGGCCTCAAAAGTAGAAAAATCAGTAGCTGAACGAGAATGTGACGACAGAAGTTGCCTGGAATGAATATAGGACTAGCTGCCTAAATATGTATCCGATTGCGTACAGAGGGAGGGCTGCAGTGAGCTGCCTGCGTACAACGTGTGCGTCCCTGTGCAAAAGATACAGCATCTACAGCCTCCGCATCGCCGATAGAACTCGTCAGCCTTTGAGTGTGTACGTCGGCTGACTCGGTTTTTGGACGTTTATTAGGCACTATCTTGACTTAGTAGTTTCCATGTTCGGTCTTCTTGAAACCTGGGCATATCACATAATGTTTTTACGCTGTTTCGCCGTACAGGTTTGCTATGGTGAAACCGCTTTATTAGGTCGACGATTCGAACAACTCGTCGTCTTCAAGAACCTGAAAGTAG